GGGGGGGAGAGACCTTAAAGATCCATCTGAGCTATAGGTGGCATAAGTTGACCACGATCTTATTGGAGAAGTGGGGTTAAATAATGGAATATGCCTATCAGGGTTCTAATAGCTGAAGAGTGAAGAACTCGTGAGTATGCTAGGAGTCTCACACAGCCCGTGTGCTGATGATTGGTCCTGGACACTGACTGAGTTCTGTAATTGTGCCGGTTACTCATAAAAAATAGAACATCATTAGGAGGAGGGGGGTGGGGTGGGTACATAATGCCTGTGAGTTCACAGGCATATACCATTCTGGTTCATCTTATCGACACCAAAATGTGCCTCATGTTGAGCAAATCTTTTTTCCAATCTCATCAGCACGGGATCTCGTGGTGCCGTAAGTGCTGAATATTTCCTCTACCAGGACTATGCGGTGATTTTCTTCTTTCGTCGAAATTCCATGATTCCCTTCACCAATCGTTGTTGTCCTCCGGGTGGTTCCTGTTCTTCCACACTAGACTCCTGGTTCGACTTGGATGCCACTGCTAAGTCTACCTCATCTGAGCCTCTTAAACTCAACCCTGCTTTTGCTCATCGAATATCTGAGGTTGTGCGAAACTATGCCAAACTTAGTAAGTTCATTATTGATTATGGAGTAATTGTTCCAAGAACATTGAAAAATTTCATGTGAATACCGATAGATGGAATGCAATGGTTTACTAAGCATCTTCTTGACACAGCGTCCATAAGATGAATCTCTGTTGAATGAAGTAATTTGTCATGTCATTCCTTATGGAGGTCTACTGAGATTTGGATAATTTCTTACTGAACTTGATAAATTCAAAATCCGTGGAAAGTTGGTTCGGAGCAATTAGTGAAACCTTTTCAAACTAAAGAGTTATGTAATGTTCAAATTAAGGATCTGTTATAACCAAATCAACTTTTCAGAATCATCGTATTGATATCTTCTGTAAATTGGAATGGTGTCGAATGAGAATTTATTGTTTTTGAACTCCTTTTTAGTATTCGTTCTGTTAATACCTTGGTCAATGGGAAAAAATTGCATTTCAAGTTTTCGATCAACTATTCAAATTGATAAAATGCTTGGGAAAACTCCTGGAATGTGAGCCCTGGAGACTCACAACGTGAAGAGCGGACTCTATCGTAGAATGAAGGCATGTACGAACTGAATCCAAAGACCAAGGCTCTTTCGATCCACCGACTTTAGTTTTTACACTTTTGTTCAACTGGGAGGGGGGGGGGGGGGGCTGNAAGGGGGGGGGGGGGGGGGAGGGCTGAGGATTGAATCATGGTAGGTAATGAAGTCCGATTAGTTTGAATTCTGGAAACACCTAGTTGATTGCATCTTGCAATCTCCTTTTGTTCCAAAATCCACTTTTTACGAATTTGACTATAGGTTAGTTCGTATTCGCAATATTTAGAATTGATTTGATAATTTGTTTTAATTGAATGCTTGTTTATGCGAATTCGAAGCCTTTTTTATGTTTCAGCCAGTATCGGG